GTAGAAAAGATCTGTCTTTCTATAACTGCTATTATAAAGCAAATTCACCAGGCACGTAAAAGCAAACAGCACTTTTGCTCACGAACTTGCGACTACTGCCTACTGGCAGCTGCTGTGCAAAGTTAATTAAAAATGATTCCAAACTACTAATTACGAAAAGCAATATCAAAAATTTCAACGAGGAAAATTCTCGCTGACGAAAAATGTGTCCGGTCTCACATCTGATTTCTTCTTTTGCGGAACTGTATTTTTTGGTGTTTTCGCTAAGAATGCTGTGTTAAATGGGCTTCAAGCAGGATTACAAAGCGTTATTCAAACTGTAAATGTTAGCTAATTTTTAATTGAAGGTCAAAAAAACTTTCCAGTATAATACATTGTTTTTGGTTATTTTTATTCCTGCTCGGCTTAAATTAGTCGATTTCCTCTTTTCTTAAACCTTTTGTCATTTTGTAGCCTTTTCCGGGCAACTCTGATGCCTTTTTGCTGCAACACGTGAAAAATACTTCTATTTCCTCCCACAACTTGCTACTGTTTAAAGCCGGTGTAGACATAAATATTTGAAAAATGGAAGAATTCACGCGATAGTCAGTTGCTTAGCATGCTGCATAGTTTTGAGCAAGAGGATACAAGCAAGCTACCAGGAAAAGAATCCAAAACGGATAGAGCGTAGCTTAGCAGAACGAAAGTTTTGGAATCACATATAAAAATTTTTTTTAGAAAAAGATACCCGAGGAAGAAAAACCAATACCAAATATTGAACAAAATAAAAAATATCGGAAATATCACTGATGATATCTGAAATTTAATAACAGTTTTTTTGCAGCACTGAGATCAAAAAAAAAAAAAACTGTAAGGTACAAAGACATCATTCAAAGTCGAAATTTTTCATTCACTTTTTGGCTGAAAAAATTCGAAACAATTATAGATGAGCTTCTGCTACCAGTAATTTACATCAGCTAAAATAGTTTAAGGCACACACATAAACGCACACAAACACACACGCAAACTCACAACGCACATACACACAAACTTATATGTGCCTGATTTTGCTTTCTGTTGCAGCGTAAATTGAACTTTAGTTGAAAAAATTTCAACAAACATACCCTATCGAGTTTATTTGCTGTCCACACTGGACATTGCAAACAAAGTATTGAACAGTTACATCTGTAACAGATTGAAATCCAAATTTTCTCAAATTTTACACTTTTTTTAGTCAAAAATAATTTTTGCAAAAGCCTTTTTAGCATACCAGTTTATGCTGAATTTCTTAGCCAACACTGCAGTTTAATATTTTCTCAATTTAATATTTTCACAGTTCAAAGTTTTCTCAAGTTAATGTTTTTTTTTAATACTGAAATTGCATTTAAAACTCATTCCTCTTATTCCATTTATGCGGCGATTGACCAGTGAGCGTTTGTAGGAGATAACGAATAATCGGAAATTGAATTTTCCCA